GCAGTGAGTGACCAATTGAACAAAAAAAAATTCTGTGATTGTTAGCTAGGACACCGAGAGAAACTCCCTTCTCTTTTCGAATAGTGCCACCATGAATGTTTTTTAACCAAAAGTAGCACCATTAGCAAATTTGTCTTCCATTGGTTTCTGAGCTCAGTCAAGATTTAACTCATTATTTTGGCATGACAATTTGAGATTATGCATCTCAACAGCAAAACTGAGTTACTCCCGGGGTAGGTTACACACAGATATGACTGAGACAGACAGACAGACAGACAGACAGACAGACAGACAGACAGACAGACAGACAGACAGACTGACTGACTGACTGACTGACTGACTGACTGACTGACTGACTGACTGACTGATTGATTGATTGATTGATTGATTGATTGATTGATTGATTGATTGATTTCTTATTGCAAAAGGGATTAAGGGATATGAGGATAAAACAGGGTCAGGTTATTAGCTGGAGTTAGATTAGAAGATCAGCCATGACTGAATGGCGGGGCAGGCTCGAAGGGCCGAATGGCCTACTCCTGCTCCTACATGTTATGTTATGCTATGAGCTTCAATACATGGTTTACAAGTGTCATGTCATAATCATAATAAATTCTTACTCGTGTAACAAACACAAAATGTTAGCAATACAAAATCTGAAAATATTTTTTACTGTAGATGGGAGCTTTAAAATGTTTCCTCCAATACCATTATTCTTTATTTGTGTAACTTCTTTCACTGTCCCAATCTTTTTACATTTATTACTTTGGTTCTTTTTGAATTACATTTGTTCTACCTGAGCAACGTTACTTTGATAGGATCTACAATAATATTTCCATTTTGATATAGTGCCTACAGCATCTCAAAGTATCTCCAAACCAGTTGACGTAAACCATCTACAACAACTGCCCGGGAGATGCTTTGTATTTGTAGGCTATTGCAGCAGCCAATTTGCACGCAGCAATGCCCCCAAACAGGCATGAACTGAAAGATCCATTTATTTGGGGAATTGTTGACCAGGACACCCAGGAGAAACACCCTTCTCTTATAAGCTGATGGTACAGTCTCAAAGGGGATGAAGGAACAGAGAGACCTGTGGGTTCATATAAGCAAATCTTTGAAGATGGCAGGACAGGTAGATAAAGCTGTTAAAAAGCATACAGGATGCTAGGCTTTATAAATAGGGGCATAGAATGCAAAAATCAGGAAGTTTTTGAGGAGTCCTGTAGCATATTGGTTAGAGCACTCACCTCACAAGCGAGAGGACCCAGGTTCAATTCCCGGGCAGGGTGAAACCTTAGATAAGTTTCCTTACTCCACACGCCTCTGTTTATCTAGCAGTAAGTAGGAACCTGGTTGTTAGTCAATTGGCGACTCGCTTTTAAAAGAAATGATAATAATTGGGTCACTCAATCCACGACTGTTTGTGAGAACACTGCCATGCGCAATTGACTGACGCGTTTCACCCACAAAATATTCAGTCAATTCACTTTACAGTATATTCTGAGAAGCGCTTTGAGACGCCTAGAAGATGAAATAAGGCACGATATCAAATGCAAGCATTATTATTTTCAGCACATAATAGATGCTTGGTTGTCCATTTGACCAAATGGCATTATTGTGCACTCCATGTTAACAGCCTGCTTTATTTTAGTTCTATCTTATTTGTGTAGCACCATGACGTTTATGATTCCACACATTGAACATTTGTTAAACTGTGGTGTCAGACTATGGTTCTCACTGCTCTATTCACCAACACATCCAGATCCCAAACTGGCAGAGACTGAGAAACTATTTTTATGTGGTGAGCGAAAAGAACACTTGCCAGGAAAACAGCAGTGTAAATGGTGCTTCGGGACTGAAAGTGCGTCGCCTCTAGGGAATTTCATGTAGGTCATGGCCACCTGCAGGAACTCAGTTCCAATCTCCAAAATATATGAAAGCAGGGGAGGACTGGCTCCCTGAAAGAGCCTGGGATTTTGATGGAAAAAATGGGTTGCTGGTTTGTGGGGGGGCACAAGGGCCAAAAAGCATGAAACAACACGCAAAAGCACGGCCCCGGCCTCCATATTGGTATCGCCCTAAGCCTGACAGCCCCTCCAGTCTCCAGGCTCGGGGTGTGGGCAGTGGGCCAGGCAGATGGCAGTGGATTGCTAGCAAATTCACCATCATCTTGGTGGCAACAGCGGCTTTTCGCCCGTCCAGACTTTCCGTCGTGCACCAAGACTGTAGAATGGACCTGCACAAGGAAAGAAGTAACTTTGCCAGCAAAGCCAATGTGCTGCTGCACATTAGATTCCTTGTGTCCTGGCCATGGCATAGTTGGTGCTCGGGGCAGCTTTTGGTAAATCAGGGGCCATTATCACTGGGATGTTCAGGAACCATTCGCCCACTCGGGAAATTTCAGACATCAAGTCCTGGATGAGAGCTAACTTTCTACAGTTGAACATCAACAAAACTGAGGCTCTCCTGATTGGCTCCCATCAGCGCCTCCTCACCTCAGGCACTGACAGCATCACCATCCAAGGATGCACACTCCACCTTACTAAGCCAGTAGGAAACTTGGGGTCTTGTTTGACCCTCAACTATCCTTTCTACCTCACATCTGTACCATGATCTGCTCTGCCTTCCCCCACCTGTGCAACATTGCCCGGCTCCTCCACTGCTCCCCGCAGATCTCCGAGACCTCATCCACGCTTTCATCACATCTAGGCTCAACTATGCTAACTCCCTTCTTTTCGGCCTTCCCAACTCTTCCCTCTATAAGCTGCAGATCATTAAGAGCTCTGCAGCTCGTGTCCTTTCCAGAGCAGGCTTCGTGACCCTATCACCCCTATCCTCGCCCGTTCCCCTGGCTCTCCATCCCCCAGAGGACAAAATTCAAAATCCTCGTCCTCGCCTTCAATGCACTCCACGGCCTTGCTCCTTCTTACCTCTGACCTGCTAAGATCATATGGACCTGCCGCTCCCTCCGGTCAGTCAGCTCTGGCCTGCCCCACCATTGGCAGTCAGGCCTTCAGCTTCTTTGACCCCACCCTTTGGAACTCCAGTCCACAGTCCCTTCGCCTTATTCAAGGCACATCTCAAGACTCTCTTCTTCACCCTCCTACCCCTGCCCTCCAACCCCCACCTGACTCCAACACCCTGCTTGGATCCAATTCACTGACTGTCGAACGCCTTGGGACATTCTCCCAACATGAAAACGCTATACAAATGCAATTTACTGTTGTTGTTAAACTGAGAACCCCTCTGTCTGTTCAGGTGCATGTTAAAATTCACATAGCAGTACTACCGATGTCCTGACCAACAATCCCCCATATTAAGTAGGTCATTCATTTCATGGCTGTTTGTGCAATGTTGCTGTTGCTGCACACTCAACCTCACGAAGCCAGTCAGGAACCTGGGTGTCTTGTTTGACCCTGAACTGTCCTTTTTCCCCACATCCGCGCCATGACCGGCACTGCCTATCACACCTCCACAACATTGCCAGACTCCGCCACCGCCTCACCCCTCAGGCTGCCGAAACCCTGACCCACGCATTCGTCACTTCAAGGCTCGATTATTGAAATTTCCTCCTCATCGGCCTTCCCAACTCTTCCCCTCACAAGACGCAGATCATCCAGAACTCTGCAGCTCGTGTACTCTCGCGCACTCCTGACCCCTGACTGCCCAGCGCCTTGGGACGTACTCCCGACGTGAAGGATGCTCTATAAATATAATTTTGTTGTTGTTAGAAAATTGGCTGCCATGTTCACCTTCAAAATACAGTCAATACACATTACAGTAAAAACTGTGAAATGCTAGAGACACCCTCCCTATGTGCAAGGCATGATATCAAAAACAATATTATTATTATTTTTAGATTTGAATTGTTTTCTTCGCCTTTGGTTGCCAAGTGTTAATGCCAAGTAGGTGACAAATATTAGACGGCAGCAGCACTGTATAAGGGTTGTGGTGACTTAAAGATTTCATGATGCCATGTAACAAAATTGATGTCTACGGATTTCTCTCGTTGAACTGGACAAATTTTCACAGAATATTTAAAAATGTGAGAGAGGTAAGTACGTTCTTAAACAGGTTCTCTTTATCTCTATCCCTTTTTCTCAATTTTATGCTTTTTTTCATTTTACTTTCTGTTCCACTTTCCCAATTATCTTTGGCTTCCTGCATCTTGTGGTTCTCACCCTGTCATCGATGATCTGGGCAGCCTCACTAACACAGGCGCATTCACTTTGCTACTTCTGTGCGTGATGACAACGGTTGCTACTGTTCTTGTCACTACAGGTATTTATTTTTAACTTACCCTTTACATTGGAAATTATTTAAAAATACTGAAAGCAGTACCAGTGCTGGCTTAAACATTCTTCTTTCTTCCCCCCCTCCACCTTTGAGGGACGAATTTTCAGCTACCATAACTATAATAAATTGGTCATTTCAATCCACGACTGTTTGTGGGACATTGCTATGCACAATTGGCTGCCGCATTTCCCCCATAAATTTCCCCCATAAAGTCAATTCACTTTACAGTCTATTTTGTGAAGCGCTTTGAGATGTCTAGAAGACGTGAAAAGCGCTATATCAAATGCAAGGGTTATTATTATTATAACCCAAATAATAATCCTTGCATAATCTGGAACTCCCTCCCTAAATCCCTCCATCTCGCTCCCTTTCTATCTGTAAAAGATTCCTGAAAATATAATTATAATGATAATCCTTGCATTTGATATAGCGCCTTATCATGTGGTTGAGTTGTCTTAAAGAGCTTCACAGAATATATTGTAAAGTGGACTTACTGTGTATTTTGTGGACAAAATACTCTTTAGACCAGTGGTTGCCAACCCCACAACAGTCTTTATGCATGAAATTCTACTTGGCATCCTGAAATTCTGCCGATCTTCAAGCCTCATATAGTGCTGCTGCCATCTATTATTTGTCACCTCGAATTATCAGAAGGCTGAAAAGAAGACTAGATTGTAACAACAGTCTTTTTGTTATTTCAGATTTTTCCCAGGTTGAACTACGTATCCTAGCACATCTCTCCTCAGATCCAGAGCTGCTGAAACTTTTCCAAGATCCAGAAACATCAGATGTTTTTTCTATTCTCGCTTGTCAGTGGTAAGTGCCATATCTGATTCTTTAGAATTTTTTTTTAATATGAGTCATTCCCAAATTACTGTGAGCCAGCTGGCCCCCTGCCAGCCGACACATAAACCAAGGCAAATAAATCATCCGGTAATACAGGATTCTGGGAGGAGGTTAATTAGCACCGTCTAGTCTCATGCAGTCTGTTACCTTGTTCATCTTTAGAGCAAAGACCCAAATCTGGCCTGTGCAATCAAATCTGATCACTCCAGTGACTGACTTGATTCTATTTCATGGTAGCTCCCCACGCTTTACTCCGAGATACCCTTCATCCAAACCGTTTGGGTGATTAATTCAGACAAGCGGAGAGGAGAGACATTCCACCTGGGATTTTTCAAAGGTTCCTTTAAAAAATTTAGAAAACTGTCTTCAAAATTAAAACTGAATTAAAAAATTCTCCAAAATTGGCACATTCTGAAATGCTAAGGTACAAAGTCCAAGTCTAGACCCAGGCAAAATTTTGTCTCCCTGATTGTACATCGATTTCAAGATTGTTCTCAGTAAACAATATTAATTCAACATTGAAGCTAATATAGAGTGGCCTTCATTTTTTTTGAGGGGGTCAGCGGGTGTCCAACACATGTAGAAAGGTAGTACCATACGTAATAGTATTTTGACAGACAGTTCCAGGTATGCATGAAAATTTCCCTGTTTCTGGAATGCTGTGGGCACTCTGTCCAGAGGGACACCCCAGTTCATCTAATGGCAAGTGCCTAGGCTTGTGGACTCCAAAGCCTGTGTTGGAGTACTGCTGGAGTCTAACCCAGCTAAAACCATGCAACCTTCCAAGCACAATCCAGCAAGCTTCCTGCTGCTTGTCCAGCTAGGTCCATCCTACCATTTAGGGGTTTGCTTTGCATGGTTAACAGGAGCCAAGTGGGAAGAATTCCAGGTATGGCCTTCCGGACTAAGCCTATATGGAATTTGAAGCTTCTGGACATCATACTATCAAGGTACTGATTACCTCAGAAATATCAGGGAAAACTCCATTTTGAGCTCCAGCGTTATAAACAAGGCCACACAAATGCGGACGTGCAAATCATTTTTATCATAAAATAATAACTTAACAATGTAATTATGTTAAAGCTTCAAGCTATATTATTAGGTCATCAATACTCTTTGGGTGAACAGTCAAAGAAAGTGATGCTAATGAAGGAAGTTCCATTCTGATATGAAGTCTTCTGTTGACATTTAGTCCCCATTACAATGTGCGAACGGAGCTCTTGGCAGATGCATGAATGGGTCATTTTGTGTATATCAGCTTAACTCAACAACAAAATCAGATAAGTGACAAAGTACAGATCGCAATTTTTCACCGAATATATATTTTGCAATATATCATTCCATGTGCATTTTGGACAATAATTTGGACTAATTAAAAGTTGCATTTAGGGATACAAATTAAAAGTGAATGCTACAGTTAAAGATCCTATGTCACTACTCGAAAAGAGAAGGGAGTTTTCCCCCAAATAAAATTGATCACTCGTTTCATGGCTGGTTGTGGGACAACGTTATGTGCAAAAATGCTTCCACGTTTGCCTATGAAAACAGTCACTCCATTTCACAATAAATCCTGTGAAGCATTTTGAGACATCCTTCTGATGTGATAAGGTGCTTTACCAAATGCAAGGATTATTATTGTTATTAACTACATAAGTAAATCCTGAGTGAGTGCGAAAAGCACAGCCCAGTGATAAGTTATATATTACATTGATACATAGGTAAATGAAGGGGGGAAGTACATTGATTGATACTGGTGTCAGACTGCTGAATTACAGATTACTGAAGTAAGCGGAATACATTAGTTGCATATTGAAGGGACTGAAATTTGCAGTTAAAGAGCTTGCAACATGCAATGGTTCATGTTCTGCTGGGACCGTAGAGTTGTTTTATGTGGATTGCGTTGCTGAATAATGCAGATTGCGATGTTGAATTGTTATTCCATAGTCTCTCTTCAGTTGCCTTTGGGAGCCGGGGAGAAATCCTAGGTTCATTTTCTTGGAAGATTTAGTTGTGATATTCACTTCCCTCAGAGAATTAAATAAATTGGGAAGAATCAACAATAGTGCAAGTTGTGCATGGCCTAACGTGAACGATTGCCTGGGACACTGCTGTGCGCAATTGGCTGGCTCGTTTCGCCCACAAAATATACTGCCAATTCATTTTATAGTATATCCTGTGAAGCGCTTTGAGACGTCTCGAAGACCCGATATCAAATGCATGGATTATTATTATCAATCAGCCTTTTCTCATTCCAAATTTCTTATGTCCTTCAACAACAAAGTGCACTTATATAGGGCTTTTCACAAAATCTAAATGTCTCAGAGGCTCTTAACAGATATGTTGGGGAGCACCGAGCAGGGAGAAGTGAGGACGTTGATCAGAAGCATGGGTTTTGAAGGCTGGGAGAAATGAACCAAAACAAACAGATTTTTGAAAGAGTTCCAGAAAATAAACAGGAGCACAGTGAGTAAAGGCTTTGTCAGCAATGATCGGACAAAGGTTGGTGGAGTCAAGCAATAGGCCAGTCAGAGGAGCAGAGGATAAAGGCAGGAGAATAGAGCTAAATGGAATTGAATGTGTAGAGAGGAGAGAGAGCATAAAGTGATTTGAAGGTCAGGGCAAGGTTCTTAAAGTGGATCCAATGGGAGCCGGTGGAGCCTGGTAAGGGATGTGCGGAACGTAATGTGGGAGCGAACATGGGCTTCACTATTTAGAGGTTATACTCATGAGCCTTAAACAAGCAAGCTGAAACTCATGTACTAGTGGTTGTTATCAGGAGAAGTGAGGTTCTGAGGCCTCATATTCTTACCATTATTGGTTTGCAGTTTAATTGTGCAGAATTTTCAAAATTCTTAAATTTAGTCTTAACTTGGATTCTGGTTTTCCTCAGTTCTTAGACTTTCCAAGATTGTAAATTGTAAGGTCTTAAGGCTAAGACCAAGAGATATTTTGAGCATAGACTGTTTGTGTAATGTAGGGGAATTTACTTCGGATTCTAATGCAATCCATCTTGATTGGGTACAGGTAAACAAGTGAGCAGTGCATTGGGTATGGGCTTGTCCTAAGCGCTCCGAGATGCTGCCCCGAGTGAAGCGTGCTATTTAAATGCAAGTTGTCTTATACTTATATATTTATATTTTGTTAAAGGTTTCATTTTACAGTTACCAAGTTCTATGTGCAGCACTGTAACAGCGAAGGGAAATTATAGAGCTCACTGACAGACTATCAAATCTAATATTTGGAGATAGTCCCTAATGTCATTCTACACTATTTTTTAAGAAGTGCAGCCAAGATAGCGATTCCCAGCACCTTGTACAGAGCAGCTTCTCCTTGTGTTCCAGACTGACATCTGATTGAGTGTCAGCGAGCACTGGAGCTTGATGGTAACATTGTCTGCGCACAGCGAGTGGCTGATGAAAATTTGGCTCAGCAGTTATTTTGCAGTGGCCAGGGCGTACGAAAACAGCTTCAGCAAAAAGGTGGCTGCGGCTATCCAATATGTAAACACAGATTCCTCTTCAGACAGAAAACTGGCAACCCTGCCAGCCCATGTCAAAAGAATTAGGAAGGAATGGCTGAAGCAGTGCTGCTCGAGTACACCTGCGGTGTATTTTCAACAACAACAACTTGCATTAATATAGCACCCTTCATGCCAGACAGCATCTCGGAGTGCTTTTCAAGCCAGTCGTAAGAGTATCACAGAGGCTGACCTACCTGAGAGCTAGACTCTCTGCTGCTGTGCTCACTGACGACTGATCAATAACCCTGGTCACATGCCCTCAGCTGTAGCTGCAAGACTACAAATGCAGCAGGATGAGAGGAGATGAGATGCGCATCTCATGTCACAGACGTTGTGTTAAGGTCGCAGTTAGTTTATGTGCTCTGCACTGCGGCGACACCTTGTGCCTCGGCACAAATAACGTTGTGTAGAAATATAAAGAGGACGGGCACTACTTTTTAAAGTCTGTTTTATTCTTGTTTGTTTGGGTTGGGATAATAATAATAATCCTTACGTTTGATATACCCGCCTTATCACGTCATTGAGACGTCTCAAAACGCTTCACAGAATATACTGTAAATTAATTGGATATTTTGTGGGCGAAACGTGGTAGCCAATTGCACAGCAGTGCCTCACAAACAGTGGATTGAGTAACCCTTTTTTTTAGAGAGGATTAGAATATCTTTATTACCCCCGGAAAAGAATGTCTTTAATGATGTTCACGTGGAAAGGTGAGAGGGGAAATAATTGATATTCACAAGATGATTTCTAATAGAGAAACCTGCTGGACCCTGGATGTGTGTCAGGTCAACCCTCCGAATGCCCAACTCCTCCTGCCAGACACCTCCTTTGGCCACAACCTTCTATTTTTGAATTGAGCCTTGGGATCTTTAACGTTCATCTGAACAGACAGACAGGGAATCTTGGTCGAACATGGCATGTGAAGAACAGCACGTCCTACAATGCAGTGCTCTCGGCACTGCGTTAGAGTGTCAGCCTAGATTAGGTGCTCAAAGTCCCAAGCTGGGGACTCTAGATCTCATCAAATAATTTTGTTACCTTCATCAATTTTACACACAACCCAAACAAATTAAAATATGTAAGAGCTATACTTTCATCAGCGGATAGATGGGAATATATTACTTTACATGAAGAAACCAGGAGCGGGCGTTTCTTCTTTATAACAACAAAAAGTTGCATTTATATATCGCCCTGTCACTGGGTAGTGTCTGAGAGCGCTTGATAGTGGCGGAGCATGACGCCGAGCCGGAGAGAGGGGAGAGGTGACTGTAAGCATGGTTGAAGAGAAAGATCTTCGGGCACAACCTGGAAGGAGGGGGCAAAATGGGGGGAATGAGGGAGAGTACTCCAGAGTTTCGGGGCCTAGAGGCTGAAAGCACGGCTTTTATATTTATATTTTATTTTATAATAATAATAATAATAATAATCCTTGCATTTGATATAGCGCTTTTCACGTCGGGAGGACGTCCCAAAGCGCTTCACAGAACACACTGTAAAGTGAATTGACTGTATATTTGTGGGCGAACGTGGCAGCCAATTGCGCACAGCAATGTCCCACAAACAGTCATAGATTGAAAATGACCAATTTATTATTGTTTTGGGTTTTGGAGGGATTATTATTAGGCTCTGTGTGGAGTAAGGAAACTTGCCCAAAGTTTCGCCCTCTCTGGAATTGAACTCAGGTCTCTCACTTGCAAAGCGAGTGCTCTAACCACTGAGCTACAGGACTCCATATGGAACAAATGGTTAGCATAATATCCTAACCTGTTAGAAGTAAATTTATTTTTGCCTTAAACAACAAAAATCAAAGCAAAATCACCAGTTCAGCTGTTCTTTATTGGTGTAAACGTTATATTGCCATTTAGGCAAATGGAAAAAAATATTTCAGGTACAGTTTGTCATTTAATGAATTTCTGTTTTTCTTCATTCGGTCCTGGTAGGAAAGGTGTCCGTGTGGATCAAGTGAAGAATGCCGATCGAGAGCAAACCAAACGAATTGTCTACGCTGTTGTGTATGGAGCAGGTGAGCTTTGCAGAGCCAGTGCTTGTCCATCCAGAGCACTGCCACTCAATGGCAAGCTGTACGGTTTTAGCTGGTTAGACTCCAGCCGTACCCCAACACACACATTCTGGAGGCTCTAAGCCTTGGCTCTTGCCAACCTGTGCCTAATACTTTCCAAAATTAAATAAGCAGGATGCGTCCCTCCATGGAGAGAGTGCACATCCCATTCCAGACACAAGGAAATGTACATACCGTATGTAGGTGGCATACATAATTGGTTTGGATACCTTTTAACACGTGATGGGTTTCCACATGTGTCAGACATCCAGCTGATCAAACAAAAAAAAGCCAGTGTGGGAAAGAAAGAGACTTTATTATTATATTTATGTGTGTATGTGTGTTTGTGTATGAATGTTAGCAAGGGGTGGGAATGAGATGTTCACAGCTCAATGATTGATCTCGTAACCCACATTTTCAAAGGCTACAAAGTAAGTATGATAAGAAAACTTTATTACAATTTAGTTATAAAATATTACTAAAATAAGTATTACTAAAATACTATAATGCTAAAATTCTTCAAACGTGCCAGAAAGGAGGACATTTGCAGAAGAAATATACATGAACCCTTATTACAAATTGATGAAAGCAACATTATTCATTTGCTATTTACATTATTTATTTCCTTTTTTACTTTACTGGCAGAGTTATAAATTATTTTGCCTACACAAAGTTTAAAGATACTTTTTTTTATCAATATTAGATTAGTTTTAATTAAATAAAGGTCACTTTGATCATTGGTTGAAAGGGTTGCAATTTCCTGAGTGGGAGGAGTGATGACATTGTCACATAGTCTCAGGTCAGACAGCCGAATAACTCAGCAGCTTTCCATTTAATGCAAACAATCTCCCCAAATAAAATTGGTCATTAGTTTCATGGCTGTTTGTGGGACATTGCTGTGCATGATTGTGCTGCCTCGTTTGCCTACAAATACACAGTCACTCTATTTCATAGTAAATCCTGTAAAGTGCTTTGAGACGTCCTTTTGACATGATAAAGCGCTCTACAAAATGTAAGGATTATTATAATTATTATTATAATGCAGATCAGTCACCATATTTTTAAGAAGATAGCCAAGTAGTGGATTGGCTAGCTGGCCATTTGATTGGCTAGTTTGGTGGATGGGTCGGTAGGCTTGTTTAGTGCCTTTTTTTTGGTCGGCCGTGTGTCTGACACATGTGGAAACCCATCCCCGTGCTTAAGAGTATCCAAACCAAACTGAGAATTCCACGTCTTCCACCTACACATGGAAATCCCAGAGATAAATCGTTGGAATGGAATCCGCCCTCTCTCCCTGGAGGGACACATCCTGTTTACCTAATTCCGGAAAGTATTAGGCGCAGGTTGGCAAGAGTTAGGTTGATGGCTGATTTGATGGATGAATGGTTGAGTAGCTGGATATGTGTAGGGCTTCCTGAGTGGTCAGTGGGTTGCTGGCTGGCTAGTTGATTGATATTCTGTTGCCATAGACTTCAGCTTGGAGCCAAGGAAACCCCCAACCCATTCCTCCCTTCATCTCGGGACTTTCAGTAAAAGTAAAAAGTTAATCCTTAGATGAGGCAAGCACAACTTTTGCCCTTCCTCGCAGATCAAGTTTAGAAAATAAACATTAGGGAAAGAAAAACCTAAATCTGCTTCAAAACAAAAAAAACACGGTGAACGTTGGCTGTGAAAAAGGAACCACTTGCGAGCAGGGTGGTCCTGCCATCTAGTGGTCATTAATTAACCCCATCAATAGATATGGAACATGGCAAACTTTACTCCGCTTTCTTATTACAATCTTTATCACGAGGCCCCGAAGGATCAGATTAACGAGACCGTATTCAGCTGCTTCTATGATGAAAATGGAAGTAAATGAAGACGTATTCAGCTGCTTCTATGATGAAAATTGAAGTAAATGAAGACGTGCCCTTTTATAATTGTTAAATGCATTATGCAGAAGTCAGCGTAATGGAAACCTACATCTATCAAAAGCTGACCCCTGAAACCAAGTGGGCCCCATGCTTGTCTTTTGTAAAGATCTAAACTTGACAACTGCTCTGGATACTAAATGTGTGATTAACATACATACATGGTGGGTGAGTGGGAGGGTATTCCTGGTAATCTTAACAGAACTGGGTCAACTTGGAAAAGGACTCAATTGAAGAAGAATTAAAGAGAGTTTGGGCGGCCAGTCAGATTAAACGATGATTTTGCAGGCTGAAATTCCCATTTGTTTAATAAAGACGGATCATGCTGAAACGTCTTAAAGGGCTTCAGTACTTACATGTAATTAGTGTGAATCGGGTGTCAACCTGCTCAGTTGGTAGCACTCATAATAATAATAATAATCCTTGCATTTGATATAGCGCTTTTCACGTCGGGAGGACGTCCCAAAGCGCTTCACAGAATACACTGTAAAGTGAATTAACTGTATATTTGTGGGCGAACGCGGCAGCCAATTGCGCACAGCAATGTCCCACAAACAGTCGTAGATTGAAAATGACCAATTTATTATTGTTTTTGGTTTTGGAGGGATTATTATTAGGCTCTGTGTGGAGTAAGGAAACTTGCCCAAGGTTTCGCCCTGACCTGCCTGGAATTGAACTCATGCACTTTGAGACATGCTCCCAACATGAAAAACACTATATCAAATCCAAGGATTATTATTATTATAAAGTGTAGTGACTGGTGACAGAAATACTATACCAGACAGTAATATCCAACAAATAGTAACAAGGTGAATGATCAATTTAATCTGGAGGATTGTTGGCCAAGACATCAGGTGTAACACCTTTTTGAATAGTGTCGGGATATTTATGGAAGCTGAGGCCGTAACAAGAATTAAAAGGGATTTAATTTTTTGGTGTCTGATGATAATAATAATCTCCTTGTATTCGTCTTATCACATTTTGAGGCATCTCAAAGCGCTTCACGGGATATACTGTAAAGTGGATTGACAATTTTCTGTGACCATTTTGAAACTTTTTGATACATTATGCCATCATAAAAATGCAAGCGCACGCTTGTAACTGCAGTTCATTGTGGTGTGCTTTACAAAATTGCTATAGGTTTTGCATTGATCAGTGTTATTTCGTATTAATCTTTTCGTTTATAATGCCATACAGGCAAGGGACGTCTGTCAGAGTGGCTAGGAATTCCTGCAAACCAAGCCAGTCAGTTCAGTGAAAACTTTCTACAGAAGTATAAGGGGCTCCGCACTTTCACACAGAAAACTATTCAGCAATGCCAGATGCAAGGTACTTTTCAATAATCAATTTAAACATCCTTCCAGATGTGTAAAGCTTTTTTTTGATCAGCCGGGTATCTGACACATACGGAAACCCATCACAATGCTTCAGAGTAATCAAACCAGACTGAAAATTCAACATGTGTATGCTATCTACATATGTAAATTTCTCTGTCTGCAACGGAAGACATACTCTCTCCCTGGAGGGACACATCCCGACTTATCTAATTCCAGACAGTATTCGGCTCCGGTTGGCAAACACGTAGGCTTGGGAATTCCTGTCATAGGTGAGCAGTTTGCCTCTCCACGTGCTGCCAAAGAGCCAGGCTGGTTGGTTTGTCCTCAGCCTGTGGATTTGCTTGACTCAGACACCATAAAATAGTTGTTATAATTAGAGTAATACAACTGTATGTTTATATGTTAAGTGACGTACTTATGAACTATTGCTATTTTTTTCTGTAAAGCTTAGTGACTGTGATTCTTGGATTACTCTTTCTTTATATACTTTATACACAATCCCTTCATAGTCTAATTGAGTTTGCATATATCGCCTTCACCAAAACAGGTAATCTTTCCCTTCACGCTACAGAGGATGAATTCATCGTCAGATATGATTTCCAGAATACAATAAACTTTAAGGGGTTTAAGCAAATATCACTTAAACATCATTGCTAGCTTAGGCCCGAGGTCTCAACTTTATCAGGAAAGCAGGGGAGAGGGTGATTTTGTGCCGCTCTACCAGACAGTGGCCTAAAAATAAACTTAAACACTAAACAAATTAGTATACAGCTGCTGGATTTGCATTTGTTGCACTTGCATTTCTTTGCTTGAGATACAATGCTAAAATGAGCGGTAGGAAGAAACTGTTTTCCACAAGTCATAGGGATCTTCAGCCCCAACCAGTGCCATATTAGATATAAAAAGGGGGTGTGTTTCATTGTTGGAGGTGCCGTGCTTCGGATGATTAAACCGAGGTCCTGTCTGCCTGATCAGGTGGATGTTTAAGATCCCATGGCACTATTCGAAAAGAAAAGGGAGTCCTCGCCAACAATCCCCAAAATAAAATTGGCCACTCACTCCATGGCTGTTTGTTGGAGATTGCTGTGCGCAACTGGCTGCTGCATTTCACCCATACACAAGTCAATGCACTTTACAGTATCCTGTGAAGCATGTTGAGACATCTCATTTATGTGATAAGGTGCTACATCAAAGGCAAAGGTTATTATTTTAAAAATCACAAATTCTATCCTTGTGATAATTGTCTCTGGCGGAGACAATTGATCTATTGATCTATCTTCCATCTCACCTACCCAATCAATTGCCCAAAACACTTCAAAATATTCCTTTTATAGAGGTATTTTTCTATTATAGAGGTATCTACAATAGCAACATTTACTGAAAAAGTGTCAGTCTGGCTCAATTTTGTCAGAAGGTTGTGGGTTTAAGTCTCATGTTGGGACAGGAACTCATACAGTCTAGGTTGACACTCCAATGCAGTGTTGGGGTACCTCCGACAATGTAGGGCACTCCAACACTACATTGGAGCGTCCTTCAGGTAAGATGTTAAACCAAAGTCCTGTCTACCTGATCAAGTGGTAAGTTAAAGATCCCATACTACAACAACATCAACATACATTTATATAATGCCCTTCACACAGGGTAGCATCTCAGTACATTGTAGTATGTAATGTATTATCACTTTAAATATGGTAATTTATAAAAGGTGTCTATTACATTTTTAACTAAAGAAAAATCTTGTGCCTTAATGTAATGTAAAATAACCCAGGAGCAATGTTTGACCTACGTTCATTTAGCAACCCCACAGTTGTTCATTGCCAGATTAAATTTGTTATTTCTAAACATCCTTCTGATTTACTTATTCAATGAAAATTGTTAGAGCGACAAAATGTCCCTCATAATGCAATAAAATTGAGTAATTGCTCACTTTACTCACTTTTGAGTGAGATGTTATTTGGTTTTAGCTTTGCAATCAAATAACTATACTGTATATTAAAATAGTATTTCATCTTGAAGTTGGTTCACTTGTAATTAACCATTGCAGTTGAAATCTTCATCAAACCGTACAAATGGGTTACATTTGAAGCTGGGGCTAACAAGCTGACTTTTGGACCTATGCTATTTATGCTCTTTGTAGCATCGTGGTTGCCTCACAAGCGAGAGGACCTGGATTTGATTCCTAGGCGGAGTGAAACCTTAGGCAAATTTCCTCACACACTCCTCTGTTTACCTAGTAGATTTGGAGCACAGCACACGGTTAGCAAGGTTAGCAAGCAAGTCCATAATCTAATTACTGTGGAACATGGTCCATTACACTGCACAACCACTTTGTGTTAGATGTGTCAGCCTGACAGCTGGTAGCATTCCTAACTGAGGCTGACGTTTATGTGTTCATACCGAATGTGAGGACATGAGCTGGTAGTCTAGACTGGTATCCAGTGCAGTAGCTGGAGAAGCATTGCATTACCAGAGATGCCACTTTTCAGATGAGACATTAAACCAATACCCTGTTCTGGTTGACGTTAAAGAATCCACTATGTGTTGACCAACAATTATCAAGATAAAGTGGTCATTCACCTCGTGGCTGTTTGTGGTGTGCAACAGTGAAGTATTGTGATTTCATGATCCTAGCGCTCGTCTTCAAATGCCTTCATGCCCTGCACCTCCCTACCTCTCTGACCTGCTTACTCCCCAACCCACAACCCGCTGCCTCCGCTTGATTGGCTCCGGCCTTCTGCTCGTGCCCTCCGTTCCACCATCGGTGGCTGCACTTTCAGCCAATACACCCCGAAACTCTGAAACACTCTTCCTCTATCCCTCCGCCTTTCTCCTTCCTTCCCCATCTTCAGGTCACACCTGAAGACCTTCCTCTTCGCCGTGCCTACGGTCACCTTCCCCCAGCGCAGCATCGTGCTCCCCCACTGTCAAGTGTTCTGGGACGCTACCCTGCATGAGGGGTGCTATATAAATGCAAGTTGTTATTGTTACGTTTGCCTACAAAACAGTTATTACACAACAACAACAACAAGATTCCATTTATAGAGTGCCTTTCACGTCGGGAGGACGTCCCAAAGCGCTGGACAGTTGGGTCAGGAACCGAGCATTGGGGGGAAATGGTCAGGATGAGGGGAGGGAAGGGAGGGAGCGAGGAGGGGGGAAATGGTCAGGGTGAGGGGAGGGAAGGGAGGGGCGAGAGGGGGTAGAGAGTTGAGAGGGGAGCTGAAGGCACGGTCAAAAAGAAAGGTCTTGAGACCAGCCTTGAAGGAGGAAAGGGAGGAGGCGGCGAAGGCACTGGGGGATGGAGTTCCAGAGCCTCGGGGCTGAGAGGCTGAAGGCCCGGCCACCGATGGTAGGGCGGTTGGGGCGGGGGATGTGGAGCAGACCGGAGCCAGAGGAACGGAGGGTACGGGCAGGTAGGTAGGGGGATAGTAGGTCAGAGAGGTAGGAGGGAGCAAGGCCGTGAATGGCCTTGTAGGTGAGGATGAGGATCTTGAATTCGATCCTCTGGGGGATGGGGAGCCAGTGGAGGCGAGCGAGGGTGGGAGTGATGTGGTCCCGAAGCCTGGTGCGGGACAGTACACGAGCTGCAGAGTTCTGAATGACCTGCAGTGTGGAGGGAGGTGGCGGGAAGGCCGGCGAGGAGAGAGTTCCCATAGTCCAGCCTTGAGGTGATAAAGGCGTGGACCAGAGTTTCAGCAGCGTGAGGGGTGAGGTAGTGCCATAGTCTGGCGATATTCCGGAGGTGATGGAAGGCGGTGCCAGTTGTGGTGCGGATGTGAGGGAGAAAGGACAGCTCAGGGTCGAACAAAACGCCGAGGTTCCTGACTGGGTTTGAGAGGTGGAGAGTGCAGCCTTGGATGCTGATGCTGTCAGCGCCTGAGGTGCGGAGGCGCTGACGTGAGCCAATCAGGAGGGCCTCAGTTTTGCGCACGTTGAGCTGAAGAAAGTTGTCTCTCGTCCAGGACTCGATGTCGGACAGTCAGCTGTCAGGACATCGGTGGTCGTGGAGTTGAGGGTAGAAGAGGAAAGGTAGAGTTGGGTATCATCCGCATACATGTGGAAGTTAACCCCATGTCTGCGGATGATGTACCAAGGGGGAGCATATAGAGGGTGAAGAGGAGGGGACCGAGGATAGAGCCCTGAGGGACACCACACGAGACAGGAAAAAACATTTGTGGAAACAAAATGAAGACGGTGGGAGAGGTACGACCTAAACCACTCAAGGACAGGGCCTTGAAGGTTGAGGTGGGAGGACAAGCGGTGGAGAAGGATAGCGTGATTACAGTAATCACCTGTGAAGCGCTATGACATGTCTTGGCTTCACAAGGTGCTATAATAATGCAAGTTCATTCTTTCACAATGTTTGTTTTTAAATGAAGCCAAGTAGATATTCTTATATAAAATAAAAATAAATAATGCTTGGATTTGATATAGCGTGTATGCTGGTGTAATATTCTGTGGTTTATCTGTAGCCTCAAAATGGCCTCATTATACTCTATAATAATAATTGTTGTATTTAATTTAACTCCTTATCTTGTCATTATGACATCTCACAGAATATATTCTAATGTGGATTGACTGTGGATTTTTCTGGGTGAAACAATGCGCACAGCAAATCAGTTGTAGATTGAATGACCAAATTATTATGATTTGAAAGGATTTGAAAAATATTTTGAAAGGATTATTACCCAGGAAAGGATTCAATCGTCTAACAACCAGGTTCCTACTTACAGCTGGGTAAACAGAGTCGTGTGGAGTAAGGAAACTTGCCTAAGTTTTCGTTCCACTCAGGAATCAAACCCAGGTACTCTCACTTGCAACGTGAATGCGCTAACCACTACACTACAGGACTCTTCCTTTCTTCTATTTTAGAATACAAAACACATGTCACTCCAGTGTACAAAATATCTTGTAAAAACAACAAAATTACATTTATAGAGCATCTTTCACGTCGGGAGGACGTCCCAAAGCACTTTGAGACATCCTCCTGAA